ATCCCCTGTACTGTTAAAAACACAACACATCACATTTAGATTTCGTTTTTAATCCCTCAGCGTTCACCTTAGAAATCCTCAGAAGTTTTAAGTTTACCATGGGGATCATACGGCAAGACCTGATGCAGTCTCTCATGCCCATCATGGTCATGTAGTCAGCGTACTCGCCCCTTCTGAAAATATACTGGTTTCCCATGTAGTTGGGACGATCATAGCCAATAAAGCAGCCGCTCTCCACCCTGCAGGAGTGACACCTGCTCAGGAAGGAGGACATGTCGGCACAGTCGCTCATGCATTCATATGAGCGACCTTGGAAGTTTCTGTCCTCATAAAAAATGATCTAGGAAGAAGTGAATTGATATTAATTTTAAATGAGATATGGAAAGTTTCATAAACGGCACACAGTAGAAAAAGGGTAAGTGTGCTTACCTTCCCCATAGTTGTGGCAGGAATGTTGGTTCTTGGGAGAATGGAGTTGAGCTACACTAGCGGCTGTACTGTTTTAACTGCTACTTTTATACCTGATCTAACTCAAAGAATCTGTGGCTCTCATTGTATAAATCCTTGACTCAGCATCATGGTATGGAGGCCTATAGAGTGCAAAAGGTTATTTGGCACATTTCCATGTGACACAATCCCCTAGAAGACTTATGTAAGTCAACACAATGAGGACATTTGAAGCGACAATACGTAGTGACAGACAATAATCCCTTTATCACGTTTCAAAACACACTGTATGGGCCTACCACTGTTATATGAACAGTTTGAAGGCGTGCAGATTCCTTTGTGTAATCACAACAGTTCAACATGCCAGTATGCTATGTACATTGCTTTGAACAAAGCTTTTACAGCTGTTTGTACAAACCTGAATTGTAATTTTTTTAGGAAGATGTTACAAATCGAAAGCCAATTAGGCAGCAAGTTGTGTGTTGGATGTATCCTGTTCTTCTTTAAGAGATTTTGTAAGTCTCAAAATAAAAAAATTGACACTTTGTTGTGTTTTGGTGGAAATTTACCAAGTGTAGTAATTAGTGTGTAACTTGTTTGGCCCTTATTTTTTAACATTAATCCATGATAGCAAAGTACTAATGAGACCTGGTACTCATCTATAAAAACATTTTGGTAAAACAAGTGACAAGTAGTTGGTGACTAGAACAATGAAAAGGTGATTATTCAAAAATGTGACTGTTAAAGCAGGTATAGCAGAATGGTGTCCAGTATATTAAAATCAATATGTAATAGCCCAAGCAACGGAACACTATTTGATAGGAGTTACACAGTTAAATTGTACAGTAGAGAACCGGAATGGCTACACTTCAGGATTTGTTGTAATGGGATGAATGTTTTCATCCAAAAACACAGAATGGAAGAATAATTAGATGTTTATAAAAAATACTTAAATGTCAATGAAGGAAGTAACAGAAATAAATTGGATGACTCTATTTTGTGACTATGTTCACATCAACAATACTGACAACCTTTTGTAGTTAATCAGAATGGTTTTATTTAGTGGCACTGAGCAATAAATATTTAATACCAGGAGTCCATGATCCTCCTCATGCTCATGAACCTCATGCCTCCATATCCCATCTCCCTGAAGCTCCTGTACTCTCCAGGTCTCAGGTACATCATCCTGCCTCTGTAGTGGGGGTGCTCGTACATCAGCCAGTGGCCATCCATCACATGGCAGGACATGCAGTCAGACATGCGGTAGCGGTCCATGATGGAGTCACAGTCGTCCATCAGCTCATACATCTGACCACCAAAGTTCTCCCTCTCATAGATCCTCATCCTGTAGGATCCCCTGTACTGTTAAAAAATAGGTAAATACTCTTGTTAGTTTCAGTTCAGATCAGCAATAAATTATCAAGAATCACCAACCCACCATGGGGATCATACGACAAGACCTAATGCAGTCCCTCCAGCCCATCATGCTCATGTAGTCACCATACTCTCCCCTCCTGAAGAAGTACTGGTTTCGCATGTAGTTGGGGCGGTCGTAGACCATGAAGCAGCCGCTCTCCACCCTGCAGGAGTGACACCTGCTCATGTAGGAGGACATGTCAGCACAGTCGCTCATGCACTCATAGTGGCGACCCATAAAGTTCCTATCCTCGTAGAAGATGATCTGGAAAAGGGTGAAGTAACATCAGTACTATAAACTCAATTATAGTTAAAGAATCAGTAGCATAAAAATATTCCATAGGAAGATGACCTTAATGACCAGAAGTAAAATAATTCTTTGCATTTCAAGAAAGGACTGCGCACCTTGCCCCTCATGTTCATGTCGGTGTTGCTCATGTTGGCTGCAGATGAGTGGTGGCTATTGCTCCTGTACTGACTTCCTACCTGGTTAACTCTTTGCTTTTATACCTGAGCAAATGTAAAGAGTAAGTGGCCCCCTTTTATGGAAATGCTAACTCAGTAACTTACCATAGAGCTGCATAGTACGCCGAGGTTACATGCCTGTTTTTTTGTCATTAGCCTTTAGAAAAACCTGTCGGTCATATATGAACACATAGCACTTTAAACAGTGCTTTGAACATGGGAATTAGGCATGTGACTGTAAAGAATTTTTAATGCCTGTTATTTTTAGTGTTTATGTAGGTAGACTTTTTATAAACTTCACATATTTTTGGGTTTGTACTACACCATATCATGGTTTATGTAATATGCTCTAGAGGCACATATTAACTTTTTGTCTGGCAAATATTGTCTTGGGTAATTAGAAAAAAAAGCCATCATGTTATTTTTATCTCATTGTACACACTTTCAAATTCAAGCAAGTATTTTGAATAATTTCAATGGCATTTAACATGGTTGAATACAGTTCAATTGCCATATAATGGCAGCATTTGTAGCGTAGATCAGAACTAGGATTTTAGTGTTTTAATATATATATATAAGTCAATAACTCATTCCATATATAGGGTTAGGCTCCAGATAGTAGCTGGAGCTTGTGTTGACAATTGATCATTCCCAGTTAAATCAAAAAACATGATGAAATAACTTCAGTTTTATTGTATCAAGACAGCAGGAAGAAGAGCTGAAGTGATTTATGTTTATTTTTTTAAAGTTTTTATGGCTTAGTTGTTATAATATTGTCATTTTGTGCACATTTTTTTGATTGGACATAGCTTTCATCCATCCATGCATCCATCCATTTTCTATACACCCTTGTCACTAGTGGGGTCGGGAGGGTTGCTGGTGCCTCTCCAGCTAACGTTCCGGGCGAGAGGCGGGGTCACCCTGGACAGGTCGCCAGTCTGTCACATGTCGCATTCATAGTACTGAATTTCTTGTTGATTTGCTGATCAACCATCTGCTTTTATAACGTTCTTTGTAATGAAATTGTCAAATTCATTACAGGCTCTGCTTGTGTGGAGTTCAGATGCTACAGTCACAGGACGGATTGTCAACCTGTCAACTGTGGCAAAGACTCAAGGATTGTTGATGTCTTTTTTTAATGATTTCAGCGTAGAATTTTTCTCCTTGCTTGTTTTGTAGCCCAAGTTCAGTTATGGCGAAGTTGCAAGGCGGCAAATCAAAATGTTGGACGTTGAAGGCCCTTTGAAGTGTCTGGTTAAACTTTATTTTTCTCTGGAATGTACCCACCAAAGTGGGGAAAGTCTGTTTGCGCAGACCACTTCAGGACAAGTGCTTCAACAACCTTCAGCATTATTAAGAGGGGTTTCCCAAAAGAGTTTGTCTGACTGAGTTGTGAGTTCCTTCTCTTTATGGAAACTAGGGACACAACAAAGCAGAAAGCTGTTAATAAAATGACAAAAGCTTCTACTATACATGAATTTTGTGTGTTGATGATGAGGTCCTGACCATTAGTTTGATAGTAGGATTGAGCCTTCTGCTTCTGTTAGCTCTTAGCTCTGTGTGCTAGCTTTTAGCTGTCTACTTGAGGATATAACTGTATTGCATGTTTTGGATATAATTATTATTATTTTATCCAAATGCATTCAGTGATGTTCTTGGCGTGCCCATTAGCTAACTTCTTAATTATGTCAAGGCTTTTTTACTTCATTCACATTGTGGTAACATTAATATGTTTACAGGTATCTGAGATGCATGAACACTACGCTCCATATGATAGATTGTTGGCTTGGATGGAGATTGTGTAAATACAGTAATAACACCATAGAAAAGCATTCAATTAAAGACGCAGTTCGGCAGGTTTGTCGTCTTCATTCTCCTGTTCTTGAAATAGAATTTTCTCCGGCATATCTCAATCCAATCCAATCTTATTGAGCTTGAGCTGTTTTGCTTCAGTGGGCATGGATTTTGAAAGATACAGTATGTATAATTTTCCTTCCACTTTACAGTACTTTGTGTTTGTCTGACATGCTTTTGTTTTTGGCTGTAATGTGACAAAATATGGAAAGGTTCAAAGAGTGCAAATATTGTGCTGTGAAAAAGTATTTGCTCTCTTTCATATTTCTACTTTTTGTTACACCTAATTTTTTCCATTCATAAAACTCATTTTAATAAAAAAAAATAACCTGAGAAAGTACAAAGTGCCTTTTTGAAATTTTTAAATGTATTTAGAGAAAAGCTATTCACAATAAAAAGTATTTGCTACCTAACCCTAAATGCTCTCATCAAGCACTTGTGATAACTGGCACAAAAGGAAACTGATCTTTTCCTTTTGTGACCCCATGGTGAACCCCGGATGAGACATTCATTCTCTGTTTCGCATGCTGCCTCTAGGAATGTTCTTGTTGGGATACTGGTTACAAAATTGCTTTGTAACCCTTTCTTGTCACCTGATGTGAAACTTAACTGCAACATAACTTTATTCTTTCACTTGTCTTTGATAAGAGCATATCCTGCTTTTTAAGACAAATTAGCTTACTCCATCTTGTCCAACACATTCTGTAGTATTTCCTTTGTAATTCAGATGTCAAAATACTAGTGTTTTGTTGTAGGTGCAATTTTTGTGATACCGTTTCTGATAATCTTTTACTTGATAAATAACCATGGCAAAGATACCAGTAGTTTGGAAATGTTTTAATTCAGTGGTATTCAAGAAAAGACATTTAATACCAGGAGTCCATGATCCTCCTCATGCTCATGAACCTCATGCCTCCATATCCCATCTCCCTGAAGCTCCTGTACTCTCCAGGTCTCAGGTACATCATCCTGCCTCTGTAGTGGGG